AAAACATTGGAAAATCCATTTCGTCGTATTTCAAATTTGCCTGGGGATCAAAATTATAACTATTTTGTTGAAATGAATCTTTAAAAATCATTTTTAATTTTTTCAAGTTTGAAAACCAGAGTTTTGCATATGCGAAAGCTTTGGTGAGATTTTTCAGTTACGATTACCTATATTAGATATAGAAATTGGTTGGAATAGCTTGATGAAAAATTTCATGTCTTATTTTTTTGCAAATGAGAATATTTAGAAAAAGTTATAGATATAAATAGGTTTCACTTGGAAAAACATCTAATTTTGATTTAAAAAAATTATTTTCAAAAGGTCATTTTTCTCGTTTTGGGCTAGATTTAGAATTGTACACTTTCAGATTTTCTGGTGATTATTCCGTTTATTCTGATGACGGAAAGTTGAATATGTAAAAAAAGTAGAACGCTGTTGCCAAATTTGAGCGTATAAAAAATTAAAAAAAACTTCATGGACATATTCTACAAAAATCTCCCCGGACCAGCTTATCGTTTTCCTGGAGCTAACTGAACAGTAGAATCTGAAGATACTTACAAATCCGTATCCCCTACTTTTTCCAGTTTGCCTGTCCGTTATGACCACAGCTTCCTCGATATCTCCGTAAACTGCGAAATGATCTCTAAGAGACTTGTCGCTGGTATGATAAGGTAGACCGCCAACAAATAATTTCGTCCACGTGGTGTCTTTATTTTGGACGCCGGTGCCGTTGAGGGTGCCCGTGGCCCCGAGGACCCCGAGACCTCCGAGTCCTCCGACGAGGGTGTCCGTTTCGGTGGTCGCGGATATTCCCGCACTTGGCATCAGCATGATCTTCTGTTCTTCGACTGGCTCCTGATTCACCACGCGTTGCTCTTCAGCAACACGAGCTGAACTGGTATGATTGTCTGTTGGTCTAGACGTCGGTCTGGTCGGTCTCGTCAAGGGGTTGAAAATGTTATTTATGTACTCTTTGGTGAAGGTACTCCGGCGATCTCGCATAAGTATGCTGGTTGAACCGTTTTGCACATAAATTTCGGCCAACGGCTCGCACGAAAACAACGGGTGAGTTTCTATGGTTGGACCGTTAGAGCACGTGGAGAGGAGTTTGCGGGACCGAAGATGCGCTTTCGACTAAACCTCCGGGAACTAATTTTAGATTTGGTTTTCGGCTACAGCTGCTTGGCGTATGGCAGACGAAATGAATGTGAGCGTATCGCACAAGGGACTAACTCGAACTAAGGGTTTACGTTAACAGATATAGATAACTCATCAAGTTGAACTGTTTGCGCGATCGGCCCGACACATATAACCGTGCCGGCGTTCACACACGAATATCGAAACCGAAGTGTTTGTTATATGCGTATGTCTCAGTATGTAATGCGCCCCCTGGATTGGCCTAACTTATCGCAGGGGCTACCCCCAGTACGTGAGCTGAACGCGGCGCTTCTACCAAGTTTTTCAATGACAAATAACAGTGAACGAGTAAACGACTCCGCAAAACTATACGTTTAAATGTACTGTTTTGCCCAGTCGCGATTACATATACAATGCCGCTGATAAAGCAACGACGATTACTTTCGATAATTTTATATCGAGTAAATACAGGGTGGATCAGGAATTCCTCATAAATATGCGAGGAACTGATGAAGAAAATGAATTAATGTTTAATTGAAATATTTTTTAGGATCATTATAAAAAAAAGTTGAATCAGTCTGAATAAGTCAGTAAAAACTTCATGAAATGTTCGTGGATTATCCACAAAACGTTTCTTTCAGATACAAACCGGATAAAAAAATCCTTCTGAAACAACTACTTCCAGATATGTGAACATTACCACTAACGACAGTTTCTACTCCAAACATTAGTTATGGAATGGAATTGAACAATTTTTGTTTCAATTCCATTATGAATGCTTAGAGTGTTCATATACTTATTTGAAAGAAATTGTGTCGGATGGTTTTTTCAATGTGCATCTTTGTGGAGATATTAAAATTACGAGAATCACACATAGGTACTCATTAACAAAAATATATTATAAACTATTTCAATTTTTGTTTCGAGTACACAATGGTGAATTAAATACCAGATATGATATCGATTAGACGTATGAATTTGAAAATTGTTCCATAATCGTCAATTTTTTTCACAATCCTTTCCCTTAATTTCATGAAACAGATAATTCTTGGTGCAAACTTATAGTTCGAGAAACGAACATCAGAAAATCACTTCATATAAAATCTTCATATGTTCACGTAAATTTCCAGATAAACCAGTGCATGCCTTTTCTTCTCAGAATCTTGGTTTGCGTTGATGTATTTCTAGTCACCATAGTAATTGTTACGCATAAACATGAAAAATGAGAAATTAAACTTCCTATTTTTTTTACCATTTTATTTGTAATTAATGTTACTGCAGTTTCGTTCTATATGGGCATTTTCAAACAATTACATTACCATTTTAATAACCATAACACATGACCATCGATTTTATATAACTAATAGATTATTATAGATAGGTCTGCCTAAAACTTTGTGGTCATTCAACTCGCTACAGTGAAGCTGGAAAAAATGTTTTGGTCGATTGATAAAACTAAATATATTTGTTTTTTTTGAAAAGTGTCTACTGAGTACCCTTTAGCGTTGGAAGTTATTATATAGTAATAATATGATTGATATACAATACTTTCAGTGGCTCAGCTTACATTAAAGTTATCGTTTGGTGAACGTTTTCCGCACTATCTGAAATGGAATAGCAGATAAGACAGTTTTAAACCCTTGTTTGGCTAGCAGAACCACATTCAATTTTCATATTTATTTTTACTCGCAAACATTTTGAAGAGTAAAAATACATAAATGAAGGAAGAATCATGAAGTTTTCTTTACAATAGCTGACGTTTCGTAAAGCGGTCTTTTTCCGTTCTCAAACCTAATGTTTTTTTGTAAAAAACACCTCGATTGAAAAAAATTTATTTCTTTTGACAGGTCACGGCGATTACGTGAAGTATTGGCGGCATTTTGACGTGAAATTTGAAACAGAATATTCAATATTTAAGTTTTGAAGTATTGTCCCTATTTAAAAATATTTCTGATAGAATATTCGTTATATTACGAACGTAAGCATGGTTTTAAACATTTTCCCAAAAATTGTTAACAGTCATATTGCACGTGTTAGATGCCGGGAAGGTTGCAAATATATGTGTTAGAAATGTAAATTTCTATGTCGAAATGACCTTTTTAAAAGTGACAGTCTATGGAACATGATATTTTAACATTTTTAGTAGGTATTTGACAACAGATAATGATAATACTGAGAATTTAAAAATATATGAAAAACGTATTTAAAACCTGCTTTTTCGTTAACCAGCTGTCGCACCCCTACGAACGACTACCCTCAGAAGTCGAATCTTGTGCGAGCTAAGGATTAACGAGGTCTTACCTTTTAACGTGTGATTTCTAACATGGGTTGGATGATAGCAAGTGAAAATCATTCGTTCAGACTGGGGCTTGAACCAGCGACCAACACGTCAGTCAATTCGAGTGAGTGAACAAAGTACCCACGTTGAACCGCTTGGCTACCGGCCCTTCACTATTTCGAACCTCTGGCAAATGGATTAACTGCAATGCCTCTAGAGACATGAATCTGATGATTTGGACTAGCGAAGTCCGAATCATATTCCAATCTAGGATAAACAAACGCATAAAGAAGCAGTTTGAGCGATAACACTACTTTGAATTCATGTGACATTCTGAAGAAAAATCCATTACAGGTAGGCTATTGTTAAATGTCCTAACAATATGTTTATTGAAGGATTCAATGAAACTTGACAACCAGATCGGTCAAAGTATATCTATCTATGTCGTACCGGATTACTTCTCAGCATTACTCTACACTGCACTCAGGTATGTTGAAACACAATGAAGTTTTCAGACATCTTGCGGTTGAACGATCCAAATTAGACGCAAGCGTTTTGCAGTCTCTGCGACGTCAAGTCCCAGGGGATGCACATAGTCGTAAAGTTTCAAATCATCTGCATAAAATTCATGAAGTTATTGAATAGTAATATTCTGAGTCTTCGTTACTCGTATTTTAGATTTCACGGAGGACAGTTAATATTACAAAAATCAGGTTTTCCACAATTATGATGAAATACCTTTCTAAGTCCTTTACACTCTCGGATCCTATGATTAACTTTTCCACATCTATAACATTTAACAAAAAAATATGTCGAAGACGTACTTGCTTGGGCCTGACATGACTTATTATTTGAACTTGGAGATTTATTGAATGTTTTTGAAAAGTTAAATTGTTTTTTATCATTTCAATTATTTTTATTTTCACTCTCGAAAGATGATTCCACACAAGCAAGATCAGATTCAAGACAATTTACTGATTTGGGTTGTGAATGCTATTAATGTCATGTAAAATCAATGGATCGATGTATTTCGGGTAAAACATTTCTTCCGATCATTTTCAAAAATTCATCATGGATAACTGGTCGTCTTTTAAACCTAATGAAAAGGCTTTACATTATAGCAACATAAATGTCGATAGGTTCATCACGACCCTGAGTTCCACTTTCAATCTCCCCAAGTAACTTTTCGTCATAACTGGAAGGTAAAAATGCCCTTCCCATACAAGAAACTAATTCATGCCAATTATGCACTCCATATTTGATAGACCTATAAATAAGTCTATACATTCAAATTGTTCCCTTTCCGAAATATTGCAGGAATGTAAAAGTTCCTCTACCCATTCTGAAAATGAATCTTTACTAGATGAATCATCATACTGTAATCCCCATTTATAAACAGGAACCGGTTTCCCAACTCCAGAGGAAGTACTAGGCAAAACATTTTGAACAACATCTGGAATCACATTCATTGCTAACCTATACATATAACTCTATACAAGATACATGTACATTTTTCTTCAATTTAGTATAAGAAACCTTATAAGTATCAGGTTATTCAGGAATTTGAAAACAGTTAGCTTTTCTTGATAAACAGGTTAATCTCGAATCAATAATATTATACCTGATACAGGACCTCTGAAACTGAGTACTGATGATTCCAAATCAGAAAAAGTTTCATATATTTATCAACTGAGATAAAACGTTTTTCTGTGATAATAATCAAGCCAATATGACACGTTTAAAAGTTAAGGTTTTCCTAGCTTCTTTAACCGTACGAATATGCAATTCATAATGAATTACTTCCTCAGAAACGTATAATGGTTCAATTTCTCCCTCCGTTTAATGTAACACTGTAAATATGTATTACGAACAAAGTTTGAGTTCCAATAAGAAGTAATAAATTCGGCACACCTGTTGAAATATCAAAAGATGTACGCAAGACAATATGCAATCAATGTTCAATAAAACCAATATATCAAAAATCAACGCATATAACATACCAGAAAATATGTCATTTGTAATCTTGGAGTTTCTCCCAGTACAACCATTAACCTTCTATAAAAATATGTCCACAAATCACCAGCGCTAACTTCTCATAATGAAATTTGACCCCACATGTTGGCAGCGCCAAATTATTCTATCGTTTCCTTACTTGTTACTTGATCTAGCGCAAGAAAGCGGCTCCTATCCTCAACTGGAATGACTAGCTCTTGATTTGTGTAGGCAAAGGCTCAGGTCGTTTCTTGGTTTTTATAGAAATTCAATTATAGGTGTTGAAAAGGGTTACCAAATTGAAAGCTCTTATTTAGACGCCATATACAGAAATTACCAGAAATACTTCACCAACTTTGTTACACTGGGATATGAGACACAATAAAACGAGGAAAACGGTTCACTCAAGAGTTTTAATAGGGGTTTGCATTCCTAACTTTGAAATGATCGAATGAATAGAAATAATAAATAATTAATATTGGATTTGAACTGTCAAAATTCTGATAGAAATCCTATATCTAGAAAAGATCAAGGAAATTCAGGCTCATACTCCTCCACCTAGATTTCTCTGAATCTTGAGTTCCGGGTATCTGGCAGTCTTCATCAGAAGCCACTTGAGACCTATGTATTACAGTGCAGCCAGACACGTCAAATACATTTTTCGTAATATAAAACCTTTGAATATTCAATGTACTCGCCTTTCGTCGAATTCATTGATTTGGTCGAGTTTTTTATTGCCCTCGTTGTATCCCTGTCAATGTTTTTTATAAATCCTCAAGTTTTAATCACACTCTCCTTCGAAGCCTTTCATTCGAAACTCGACATTCCACTCCTCAATCATCTTCTGCAGATTCATTTCTCAGGCAACCTATCAATGTCAGCCATCACCTACCCACAGAGATTTTCCAACAAATAGATAGATAAGTCTTTGTGATTCATCTTCCACTGTTTATGAACCTACAGTGAAGAAACCTACAAATTAAACCGAGCTAATGTAGCCAAGTTACCCCCGTAATGATTTGAAACCATCTAGTCCTCTGAATTTTACTTCCGAGAATATTTTTCGAATTTACGGAGAGCTACCTAAACTTTTAGAGACTG